CTGGTTTAAGTGACCACAGCTCTGTGTCTCTCAAACTGTGTTCTTTTATATGCTTCAGGTGATTTTGGTCCACTCCCTTAACACCCCCAACCTTTCCCTGAACAAAGGAGCCAGAAGCTCCAGCTCCTCAGTAGGTTTTTCCTGATTAAAAAAGGGCTTTTTTGCAACGGGACAGCTCAAGGGGCCCAATCTCTCAGCTGTTACAAGAAAGCATCCTATTAATTTGAGAGGATCTTCACATGTTCTTTCATACTCAAAAAACCCAAATGTACACAGACCAATAGCTGAGAGCATAAAGTAACGGCAGTGAAATGGAAGTGCTGCAATTCTCTCTTTTTTTTTTTTTTTACACAAAGTACTTACAATAGGAACAGGTACAAGTTTTTGTTTTTAATCTGGTGTGAGGAATTCTTGACATGAGATACTAAAAAAAAAAAAACATCTTAAAAACACGCATTGCAAATCTGTTCTTTGCTAGGTTATACAGCAAGCTGCAGGTTATACACAGATACAAGAAGAATGATTATTTTTCTGGGGTACCAGTACCACAAATAAATAAATTCTCTGGATGCAAAAATAATGATCTTAGTAAACTGAGAAGTAACCTATGTCCTCCTAAAATTTTGTTTGGAAAGGAGATGGTACACACACAGGGCTGACGTTTCATCATTTCCCTCCAGATTTTAAGACTTGCAGAACTTTGACAAAGAGAGAATTTCTGGAAGGAGCCAGGCAAAGAGGTGCTGAGGGATTATTTAACTGATGTCAGTACTACTTGGTACCTCAGCTTTTCTCACTCTCCAGAACTGTTTAGGGAAGGCTCAATTTAAGGGAAAAATGCTTGCTGAAAGGTTCTCTACAAGTCACAGATCTTTCAAGCAATTTTGCCATTTCTAGAAATGGTCCAGAAACAGCTGACATCTATGTTGTGATCAGATGGATCAAGAAAAAAAGCTTGTGCTTACATCACTTTACCATCATTTTCAGCAACTCTGGCTGATGAAGGTGATGTTTTCGCATTCTGTTACCTTGCCAAATGCAACACCAGCTTTATGCACCACCAGAAAAGGCTCCTCACAGCAAAGCCAACAGTGCATCAAGTCAGCTCCACAGGCAGGTGAGTGATTCTGCACTGATGGACATTTACGCCCAGCTCCAGGACACCCAGGCCGAACACGTCACTGAACACAACTTACCAACAACCAGCAAGTTCCTTGCTTACTCTCTGTAGTTTATTTAGAGAAGTCCCAGTTACTTTAGCAGAAACAACCCCACCAGCTGGTGAAATGTCTGCACAGAAAGGACTTTTACGCTGCTCCCTGAGCTCAGCAGCAGCAAGTTCTTCCCTGTTCAGGCACCGCAACATCCATTTTGTGTCTTCCTCCTTTCCCCAGTCCTTTCCGGTAACTCTTATGTGCATCCCTCCAGAGGGAGCTCCTTTTCTGGCCGAACAGGCAGCACAAGATGAGATATTCGGCTCCACAGTCCACTCAGCTTATCTGTGTCCATGCCATTGTAAGAACTAGGAACATCCGAGCTGATGAACTTTGCCTGGAGGAAATCCCGGACTTTCTCCTCCACTTCTTGAAAGGTGAGGCTCTTGCGCAGCGACTGCTCGTCCAGCAGAACTGTCAGCAGAAGGGCCACGTCCTTAAACGCCGCGTTTTCATGGTCACAGTACTTGTAAAAGATCAGGGTGGAGCCCGCAGGCAGCAACTCGAATCGATGCACCACTGCCACCTTCTTGCCTTTGCTGAACCCAGAGCTGAGCTCTTTGTCCACCTCCAGCTTGACGTCGTCACTGTCCAGCAGGGCCTTGTCCACCCCGTTGATCTGGATGGTGGTGGCGTTCTGGGAGAAGGCGAAAGCATCGGCGATCTCGTTACTCAGGCACCTCAGCGCCTTCTCAGCTTCCCGGCCAGCTGTGAACAGCAGGATAGCCGGCTCCAGGTGCAGGTGGGAAGTGTTAAGACGTTTCTCGAGGGACACGCGGGCTCTTGTCCACAGATTGGCGTCCTGACTTTGGTAAGTATTTTTCAGCTCCTTCATCCGGGCCCGAAACATTTGCAGAATTTCAGCATCTCTACTTGAAGTCCCAGATGGAAGACTTGGAATTCCATTCCAGAAGACATAAAGCAATGGGACACTAATTAACAGAACCAGTAACAAAGTCTGGCCCTTGTGAAACCCACTCTGCGATTCACCATCACCTATAGAAAGGGGGAGCAAACAAGAAGAAAACAATGTTTTAAAAGGCGTCAGAAGTCAACAAGTGAGAAGAAAATCAGGAGGAAACAGTAGAATTCAGTGAAATCATCTTATTCTCAAACCACTGGTACAGTAGTTGAAGAGCACAGAGAAGATGTTCTAGCTTAAAGAAAAAAAGCAAACAAACCCACAAAACACAAATTTGAACTTCTTAAACAACTTAGTGAAGCAACAGCATTATAAAAAAAAGAACGTTTTTACACGTTTCTGGATTGACTAAGAAACTGGACGTTCTTCTGAAAAAGTATTTCTTCTTAAAGTTTATCAATACTTCGTTTATTCAATCAAATCCAAACTTAGAGCTTAAAAATGGTCCTGAAGAAGCTCACGATTTCTCCTACAGTTACACTCTGCAGAAAATGCCCTATACAAAACCTGGCAGCACCAGAACGTTTCTGTGTTATTTCTCTTTCCTCAGTCCTATAAGGATAAAAATCGTTCCTGCAGCAATATTTGCATCTCAAACACCGGTGGTCAGCACTATCAGAAAACACTTGTGGTCTCTGGATCACTGAGCTTCTGTACAAAGAGCAAACAGCAAACAGTGCACAGGAAGCTACTTTGATTTGGTTTTGTATTTAAACAGTTAAATTAATCACCATTTCGTGCACTATGAGCTTGATTCTGTTCCCAGAAAAAAATTAGTGACAAAATACACCAATCTTCCCGGAAACAGAAAGAACTGTGTTCCTTGTGCCACCTTTTCATACCCTAACTTTGATCAGGACAGCAAGGCAACAATGGTTAAATAACACCACTACCAGGTCTGCCTCGGCTCTAATCCTGTAAACATTACAGAGGGAAGACCTTAAATTCAGGTGAAAATGTTACTTATTACACAACACTCTTCCTTCCTTCGTGCTGATAACACGTGCCCTAGCAAGCAAGTCATTGTTCTGGCAAGGACGCTCGGTTTAACACCGGTTACCAGGAATTGCAGTAACTGGAAAGGCATGAAAATGGTTAAATGTAACACAAGTCAAAAACAGAAATGAAAGCAGAAGTCTTACTTTTGGCCAAAGGCTGTGACTGCTTCCTTACACTGGACTGATACCGAGATTTACTTCTGCCTGTTGAGAGATTAAGAAAGGAACATGAGAAAAAAAAAAAAAAAAAAAAACACCAAAGACAACAATTATAACCAACTCTCCATCTATTTACCAAATGCCAATTCTCAAACCATCCTGACAATCTTGCATAAAAACCTCAAGTCCCCAAACTACCACAAATCACCCCCAAGGACTTTTAACTCTTGAAAAATTACTCAAATAAAACCAGATTTCAAGCACAAGGTGACAAAACGGCAGAGATTTAACATCCTGTAATTCTCTGCACAAGAGTCCCACGTCCCAGTCAAGTTTCCCGATTTTGCTTAAGAATTTGAGGGATGTGAAAATGAAAACTCAACTAATGGAAACCAACATATTGCAGGATATAAGTAGCAAAACCAAAGCAATCTGTTAAATGCACAGTTTTATCTTCCCCCTCCATGCAGCTTGGGTTGGAGGCCTGCTTCATCAGCAGTCAGTTTCTCGGGATGAATTGTGCTTTTAAAGCAAAATGGAAGCTTTCAACCTCAAAATATACTTTTGGTTTATTTATTTAAATGGGCTCAGACAGCAGTGTACAAGAGGCATTATCCATAAAAGTGTTATGAACAACTTTCCCATGAGGCTGGTATGAATATATACAGTGCAATTATTGGTCAGCATGTTTTCTGCATTTAGTCAGTTAATTAAAAAGACATGAGAATTTCTGGCTCCTTGTGAACAACAGCAACTGGTTCAAAGCTGAGGGCTCTTTAATTATATATAATCAAATCAGGATACTTTCAATGGCACTATTGAGAATAAATTGAACAAAACACACCCCCCAGTAGTTATTTAAAGACACTGAAATAAATTCTGTAGCCTTGTTTATGTATGAATGTAATCGTAGAAGGTGCTAAAAGCAGCTCTGGTTTAAGCTGGAGCTTAACTGGCTTAATGAACTACACTATTCTGTAATTTCAACCCCCTGCCCCAAAAGGGCACAGCCACAGAGCTTCTCACGGGCTAAGCTTGTCTCAGTCTTCTAATAGTTAACAGATCAAAATCACCTCGGTTCTGTAACACTTCACAGTGAAGCCCTGTTTGCAGAGACTAAGTTTCATATTTAGGAGACAGCTCTAACTCATACGCTAAAGGAAAAAGTAAAATGATTTACATTATTTTTCTTCTTTTTTTCAAGTTTCTCCAATAGGACAAAAAAAAAAAACAACAACAAAAAAAAAACCCAACACAACAAAAACAAACCCAGAAACAATAATCCCACAAAACCAACCAAAAGTCTGCACAAGGAGTTAGTCATTAGATGACCAGACTGGATATTGCCAGCAAAGAAAAATGCTGCTGCTTTCCAGGAGTGTATGACAACTAATTCAGCCACCCTTTCTCAAAGAAAGGATAAAAGGTAAGGTGTTGAGTACAAACTAACATTCACTGCCACCAGAAGGTGAAGGTTTTGTTCCCTTTCTCAGCTCATCCCCACAATGCCACTAGTCCATGCTCTGCACTTACAGTTCCGTGAGTCAACTCCATTTCCTAACCCAGACAAAAAGGAAAAAAAAAAAAAAGAAGAATAAGGCATTTTCTGTGGTCAGCAAGTTGAATAACCTCATAGAAGGGCTCTGACTCGGAGTGTGCTGCCTTCTCCAGCTTCCATTTGAATCTGCCTCTTAGGCCCCTTTCCATCTTCCCAGACAGTGTCCCAGGGCACAAGAAAAACCAGAAGCAGAGGAAAGGAAAGGAAAATAATTCTATACTTTTCACTTAATTACAAGGAAAGACTAAGTATCCTTTTTTTTTTTTTTGACTTACTCTGTGGTGTAGAAGTTGAGAAGTGCTCTTGATTTTTCTCAAGGAAGTCAGCCTTTATTTCTGAAACCAAAGCACAAATGGACGAACTGAAGTCACCACATCAGAGGTCAGAATCAGACAGACCAGCCACACAGACTTTTAGCTCTTTCTATGAAATCCACAAAGATTATTATGGCAGGAGTATATGCTGTGCTGCCAAACCGAGCCTGCACCACATGACAGCCTCTGGGACCCCTTTTCATCTCCTCTGTAGACAGAGAAAGCTTAGCAAGGGCTTAATAATTTGGCCTTCACCCTGCTTTTCCCAACATGACACAAAATCATCCTTCTTTTTTTTTTTGTTTTTTTAAGTATTGATGCACTAATAGTACAGTGCAAAGGATGGGAAATCAGCAGCATTAACCGATGGCTAATGCAGGGTACGATATCTGTCACTTCTGAATCCAAAACTGTTCAACAGAAGGGAGATAAAAGAAACAGAGTAAAGCTATTACCTTAACAACCCTCTGATCAAACCTGTGGGGACCCTGGCAAACATGTCCTTGGCTGCCTGAGCCAACTCCTAAAAACCTCCCTCACCCAGTGTATCCACTGGGATGTATTCAAACCACCTGTAGTAACCTTCTGCTCGGCTAAAAATGACCCCTTTTTTTTTTCCTCATTGTATCTCCCCACTGCTTCTGTAAAACATCAAGAACAACCTCTGAGCAATGAGCAAAGTGCTCCCTCACTTGGAAATCCCTTGGTCAGTCAGCTTTCCCCTGCTTAAGTCAAAGGTAAGTCATCTTTTTAGAAAAAGTAGTTTTGGTTTTCTTCGCCTGAGGCAATTAAAGATCCACTCTCACCACAGGTTTTGAAGAAGGTACGATATTACTCATGTATTTGTTTTTCAAAAACCAGACAGCTGTGTATTTATCAAAGCTGAAATCTGCATTTTCTTGAACATGAAGGTTTTACACCCAAGCAGATGACCATCACACCACAATCAATTTTCCTTTGACTCGGGCAGGAGTACACACTGAAAAGTTATTTTTTTGAAAAACCTTTTTCATCCATTCAGGTTTTAGCTCGACAGCTCTCCCTCTTCTAACAGCAGCAATCATTTGTTACATCTTGGAAAAGGCACTGGCAAAACGTGTTACCTCTTGGTTTATAAATGTTTTGTCGCCCTGCTGGTTTCTCGATTTCATTACTGTCATAAACCTTTGCTTTTTCCTTCACTGGAGTCTCTTCAAAGTAAACTGAAGAACCATCTGTCAAGAAGCAAAAAAAAAAAAGAACAAAAAGAGGATTGGTAACATCATAAATCCGAAGGACCAAGACATAGTTTCAGAACATCCCTGATCTAAAGCAATAACTTTTCAATTTGGGACCTCCCAAGAGTTCCTTTCTTACAATGTAACCAAAAGCAAGTAAGACTTGAAAAGCTTACAGTAAATTTGAGTTCACTACAAATATACCTGCCTACATCACCACACTGCTTTTTCAAATTTTTATTTTTAGGAATCCTTGGCTTAAAAACATGAGTGCTAAGAGCCACAAAATGCCCTACATTAAAAGGGATTCAGTGTAAACTAGTAAATACACACCATGGAAATACAGAGTTCCTCCCACGTCTTTGGGCTCACACCTTACAAACAGTTGTGCTGTCTTACGTAGCATTAGGCAAAGAGAAAAAGAGAGAGAAGCAAATACAGAACATAATTCCCCCTTTTATGTACTCCAAGCCATCCTTTAGCTGAGTCTCTTTCATTAACCACAAGGGCACCCCTGCTCCTGATTTAACCCCCTTACGTAGCTGGGAACAACCTAAACCAACACCTTTAGGTTGTTTGCCAAATTACAGTCATTCAGCTGTGAAATCCAACTTAGTTAATGCAGCTAACTTGTATACCCCTATGAGATGGCAGGAGTCACAGAGCAAAGGTCAGGGCTGGGAAGCCAGTCAAAAGCAGAACGCTGGCAAAAGAGATGTGAAAGGATAAACTGCAACCATGCGGTTTCCAGAATTCAAGGGGTTGACAAAAGAAGTTCATGTACAGAACAAAAAGCTGTAGCGCAGTTGTGGAGCAGAGACCATGGTACAACGATCAAGCTGAAGGGCATCAGCAGAGGAAACAGCAAAGAGAAAAATACAATTGATAAAACATTTTCTAACATTCACACTTGGCCCTGTTACTCTTTAAACACGGGGTTTAATGTGTTTCTGCACAGGGCAACGCACAGCTTGCCACCTAGTGTTTAGTAATTTTATTTCAAGAAAGAAAACAGACTTTTTCCTGATGTGTTCTGGCAGCTTTAGCAAGCCAGTGTACGTGAAACACACAAAGGAGAAAAAAAACAAAACCACCAATCCCACCCAAATCACAAAACTGGGAGAAAACGGTATGTTTTCAACTAAGTTGCAGGTGCAGTAGTGAAGTATCTGCACACAGTGACTGGGACACTGTATTTTCAAATCCATCCTAAGAAGCTGGTAAGTAATTGATTTCCCACAAAGCTAAGAATGAAGAGACTCGTAAATACTTGATTTTCAGAAATGCCAAAGAACATACTCATAATATTTCACTATGTACCGAGGCTTTGCAAGAAAATCTAACTACTAGTGCTGACCACAAGACCAGATAGATCTGAGTCTAAAGAGGGCTACTCAATGCAGTCCCTACTTTTTAATTCCTCTCCTCTTCTTTGCATCCAGCAGTACTCTCTGTCTCAAAGTTCTTGTACAAAGGAAAGGTTTATAGACAAACAACTTCATTTCTCTCATGAAGGCAGCTTGTAAACCAGCACCTTCTGTATCAGTGGGTATCACCAACAGCAAGTGAACTCCCCTTTATGAGGTTTAACTTTCCTAGAAATATGTCATTCCAATCCAGACATGCCTGTTCTTTCCTTACAATGCCTAAGCCTCCAACCCAAAGGCTCATTCCTGCCTCCCAGGCAGTTAGTGAGGGTTTTTTCAACCCACCATAAATCTGCTAGCCAGTCACCTGCCAGGAGAGAGTGATCTTCTTATTCTCTCCAATTTATACCACAGCTTCATCAAAGGCATTAGAAATCTGTGAGTTCACAAACTACAGGTTTATAGACCAAAGTATAAAGCCACTATTTTAACACAGTGGAAATTGTTCTCTTAAGTTCAGTGCCGATCTATCCCTGCAGGCCCACAATATTTTCCAGCAGAGATAAGCCTGAGATGCACTTGCTGCCATGTTCCACAACAACGACAGAGAGCATGAACCCCAGTGCCAAAAACACCCAGAGCCTGCCTTTAACTCATATGCCCTATTTCCGTATTTTAAGACAACTTACACACCGATTGCAAGCATGTCTCTTCAGCTCACTGATCTAGAAGCTGCCTGATCCGAGGCAGAGTTTGTAAGTTCTTGAAACTTTGCAGCTCTACAAGCAAGTTGCCTGATCTATATTTAAAATGTCTACGCAGAAGCCAGAAACCAGTTCCTCAAGTTGTGGTTTTGCTACCATTCTGTTCTCAGGGAAACGGGACAATTATGTTCCCATAAAAACCCACCCTGCTTGTCCCTCTGCCTCACAGACTAACCCCTGAACTCTGCAGGAAAAACATAATACCACAACAGGTGGGAGGACTGGGCGGGGGGGACGACTTCTCTGCTTCTACATAAACAACTAGGGTCTCTTACCATGCTTTTACACCTGTTGTGACTATAATCCAATACAGCTGCTAAGAGCTCGGGGAGGCAGGGGTGGGACATCTCCCCCCAGACTCATTTTTAGAGAAATCTAATTTTAAAAAAATCAACAGTCAGCTGCAGCTCCCCTAGAGCAGCCCAGCCACCTTTAAAACACTAAGCCTCTTAGTAGCCTGTCAGCCACCACGTGGGAGCAACAGCTTGCCACAGCTTTATTTCGCAGATAAACCTTTGTACTTTTCCAAAGAAATGCTTCTAACCTTGCTTTTTTCTCCCTCAAGATATGATTTTTCCATGCTTCTGAAGCAGGATATTGGCAGCCCTTCTGAAGTGCAGTGCCACGCACTGGAACTGTAGCAAGAGAATGGGGACAAGAACTCAGTTGGGAATGGAGAACAGTCCCAGACTAGCCCAACTCATCCCCGAGCATTGCCACACACTGATAACACGTGCATGCTCCAAAACAAAAAAGGGAAGGAAGTACAATTTACTCAGAGGTTTCTAATGGAATGACAGACTAAAGCCACGTGACTGCGCACTGCACAGTTAGTAACTCTCTACAGCTTGAGAAAGACACAGATTTCATCAAGTAAAGCACCAAGAAGGTGCCACACAGTGCTAACACAACAGCTTGTCCAGCCCAGTCCAGCAGCAAGAACCACACCATGCTTGGTGCTTCAAAGGAAGGAGAGCCGAGCCCCAATTATGCAGTTCCTCATAAGCACTGGCGCTCCCTCTACAGAGCACAGCCTTTGAGGGATTTATTTCTGCAGCTCAGGATACCTTATTAAAATCCAGACTTTCAAAACCAAGCACCGTTAGTAAAATCAGTTATTCCCCATTGTAACGCTGTGGATAAAACACTGTTCCCAGTGATGCACTAGGAAAAACAACCACCTCAGGGCTTCGGCGTGCTCTGCACCCACCGCTCCTTTTGGGGAGGGCTTTTCCTTCCACCCCTTGTGTACGGGATAGAAGCCACAGCGGGATTTCCCCACGTGTGTGTCAGAGCCACGGTAAAACACAAACCCCAATAAACTCCATTTCCTCAAGTTTTGGGCATCGCAGCCCCTTTTCCAGCGGCGCGGACAGTACCCTCTGGGAGTTAAAGCCTACCTGGCGATCTATACGCTCTTATAGGGGGTCGCGTCAGGGAGTCCGGGGTCCCGAAGTGAAACTCGTCCCCTGAAACGAGAAACGAGTGAGGGGCGCGGCCGCGCAGCTCGGCTGAAGCCCGCTCGAGGCTCGGGCCTGAGCGCCTTCCCAGCGCCCCAGCCGCGTGTTCAGACTCGCCGGGACCCTGCGGGGTTTCCAGCGGGGCAATCCCGTCCCACCGCCCCCCTCCCGTCCCCAGTGCCCCGGCGGGGAACCACAGGGCCGGCCAGCCCGCCCGCCCGCGCCGCTCCGCGCCTCCCGCCGCGCTCTCAACCGCAGGATCCACCGCGCGGCGCTGCGCCCGCCCGCGCCGCTCACCGTCCAGCGCGTCGGGCCGGGCCGCGCCATCCACCTCATCCTGGGGCCCGTCGGGCCGCGCCGCCACCCGGGGGCTCTTCCGCCGCCGCTTCAGCCCGGCCTCGTCCGCCGGGGACTCGCCGGGGCCGTCCGCCGGGACCGCCTCGTCCTCGCCGCCGCCCAACATCCCGCCCGCCGCCGCGCCGCGCCGCCGGCCCCTGCCCCGGCCTCGCCCCCTGCCCCGCGGCCGGCCCCGCCCGGCGCCGGTGTCGCTGCTGCTGCCGCCCTCCCGCGACGGCGGGGGCGGCTCCGCGGGGCTCCCTTCCCGCGGGGCGGGACCGGGACCGGCCCCCTCCGCTTCCGCCCGCGCGCGGAGCGCCCGCCGCGGCGTCACGTGGTACAGCGGCCGGTCCGACATGGCCCGGCAGCGACCGGGACACGCCGGGATCGGGAGCGGCACCGGGATCGGGAGCGGCACCGGCACACACCGGGAGCGGCACCGGCGGGAGGAGCCCCGGGAGCGCCCGGCCCGCGCTGCCGCCCCCCAGTGAAAAAAATGCGGGCCGGCCGCGGCCCCGCGGGGACAGCTCGGGCGGCCTCGCTCCCGCCGCGGGCCGGTCCGTGTGCTGCGGTCGCACCCGAGCGAGCAGCGCGCTGCGGCCTTCCCCGGAGCCCTAAAACCCTGTCACATAAGCACCAGTGGGAACTAAAAAATGCCCAGAGGGGTTCTGAGGGAGTTAAAATCCTCTGGCGCTGGTAACACGCTGCACTAAATATCTGTTGCCCGGTGTGGGGATGGTTATGGTTAATGGGATCCAGAATGTCTCACTAGACATTTCACTTTCCCCTTTTGTTCAGGTGCGTTACTGGTAAATGGGGATTTTACAAATCATGGAATCACAGAATGTGCTGAGTTGGAAGGGACCCACAAGGATCATCGAGTCCAAGTCGTGGCACTGCACAGGGCAACCCCAACAATCCCACCTTGTCCCTGAGAGCATTGTCCAAGCACCTGTTGACCACTGCCCTGGGGAGCCTGTTCCAGTGCTCAAGCATCTGAATGCATTCTTGATTAACCATTTTTACTCAGGGATGTGGTAGAGTTCCTATGACTGGAGGTTTTCAAGATGCAGTTGGACATCATCTCCTCTAGACTCCTTTTCCCATGGAAGTTTGGGCCAGATCATCTTTTGAGCTTCCTTCCCAACCTGAGCTGTCTTATGTTTCTGTGATGTCACTAAGCAAAGAAATAGCAACTTTCTTATTTCACAAACACACATTTTCTGAACCACCACACAGATGCTCACTGGGCCAGTGAGCAGTTCAGGATCAGTCTGGAAATGAGTTGCTAAGTAAACTGGGACCCTTTTACAAATTCACAGAATCCCAGAATTGTTAGGATTGGAAGGAACCTCTGGAGATCATCCAGTCCAACCCCCCTGCCAAAGCGGGGTCACCTGGAACAGGTGACATAGGAATGCATCCAGGTGGATTTGGAATGTCTTCAGAGAGGAAAATTCCACCACCTCCCTGGGCAGCCTGTTCCAGTGCTTTGCCATCCTCAACATAAAGTTCTTCCTCCTACTGAGGTGGACCTTCTTGTGTTTTAGTTTTTACTCCTCATCCTGTTCCCGTGCACCACTGAACAGAGTCTGGCACCATCTGCTTGGAACCTGCCTTTGAGATATTTACCTGCTTTGATGACCTCCCCTCTCAGTCTTTTCTCCTTCAGACTCTTTGCACCTCAGCAGGAAGCTGGGTGAGGGAAGTGCTACTCAGCCTTCCCTTCTCTGACTGTCTTCTCTGTACATTCATTTCAAAATAAAAACTATTTTAATGCTTTACTAACACACCGTAAATGTTCCATATTTACCCGGAAGTGAATATTTGTGAGATGTTATGCGTACTTCCTACTCTACCAGCTGGAAATACTGTCATTCTTTTCAGACTTAAAAGCAGAACACACACATCGAGCAATGTTTTCTAAAGCAAAAATAAAAGAGGATGTAACAAATACCATCTCAGTAGGTTTTGAAGTACAGCTGAGCCATCCATGCAGTTCAGATAAAGTAGGAAAAAGACCAGTCAGCTCATGATTCCTGACCAGAGGAACTCCAACCTAAGTATCACTTTATTTGCAAGTTTCCAAATAAAGTTACCAAAGTATTACCTTGTGTAAATATTTCCATAGCATGTCCTTTGTATTTCACCTACTCACCATTGATTCTTCTACACATTGAGAGAAAATGTTATCCCTATTTAAGTTAAATCCTCCCTCAAACTTGAGTTAGTAAAGACCAGATTTGTAAGGTTGCAATTCTATACCTTTGCTCCCATCCAGTGACTTCGTGTTTTCCTTTTGCTAAAGGCAAAAAGAGAAAAAAAAAATCAATGTAACACAACATCAAGATTCTTTTTTGTAAGTTCTATGATGACTTCATGCCCGATCAGTTAATTTTCCTGCCAAATGGCTTTTTGGGAACCAGGTTCTCAACCCCCAGAGGCTGAAGGGACCCCCTGATTTTGTCACACGTTTGCCACTGTTTTCATGACACTTGTGCTTCTGTGGAAAGGGCAGTCCCTCAGTCCTGACTGCCTCCTGTGATGAGGGGACTGGATGGATGTAAAAACTTTGATTTTTGTGAAGCCCTTGACACCTGCAGCTCCTCCCTGCCATTCCTTGGCTGTTCCTTACTGAAGCAGGATGTGAGGTGGATGCCAGCCAGGAGCAGGGCCCTCTAGGTGACCCTGACCCCTGTGGACCAGCCACACCGATTTTTTTCCTTCCTGCTTTGCCACTCTCCTGGTTTTACAGCCTCTGCTGCACCCAGGGAGGGGTTGGTCACGTCAAGGGAATGTGCAGAATTTGCCCATGCACACCTCACCTTCTCATCACCTTCCTGCTTGATACCTGTGCACATGCTGACACCCCTGAGACACGTGACACATTTTTTTGAGCCCTCTGACACTGCCTCTGTGCCAGAAAGGGTTCTTAAACACAGCACAACAACGCATTTTTTTTCCTGCCCTTTTGAACCCAGACTGTTCTACAAGTACTAGTAAGGGGAGGATTTAGTCAAATTAAAACAAAGTCAAATCAAACACATTAGTCAAATCCTCCCCTTCAGCCCTCTGCTCTCCAGATTGAGGAGTCCCAGCCATTCAGTGCCTGCCATGAAGTGGCTGCTCCTTCCCAGCACCGTTTCAGTTGCCTTACCCTGTGTTTTGTCTCGGTCATTTGCTGCTGGGCTCCTCTGGGGTTGCCTGTGAAAAGGCTGCAAGCTGAGTTCGAGGGGGGTTGCTGTCTCTGTGCTACTGCTCCTTGTGCTGATGCCTTGCTCCTGTCATGCTCCGTGCTGCTGCTTTCCATGATACATGTCCTGGGCAGGGGGAAATAGGGAAAGAGTTAGAACCTACCTGTCCCCTGTGCCAGCACTGCAATTTAAAACATTTTTTGGGGGGGAAACATTGCCAAAATGAGGCTAGAGGCAGATAAACACTCTCAGACCTTCCCCCTGGTTGCAGTCTTTGGACCACACTGAAAAGGGACACTGGGGGGGGGGGGAGGAGGGGGGACTCCCCATCTTTTTCCCTCCAGGCTGATGTTAAAGACCCTCCATTTCACATCCTTCAGCCCCCCAGCACTGGCATAGCGTGACATTTCAAGAGTCTAGGCTTTGCTACCTACGTGTTTGCATCGTTTTTCTTGTGGTACTTTTCATAAATCAACTCTCAAACCGGTTTCCTCCTCCCCTCTCGTTTCCTTGTTTCAATCCGCAGCGCTGTTACCTAACGCAGGAAGCCGCCGCTCATCCAGTGCGCCTGGAGGAAAGGGGCACAACCACAGAGTCGTAGAAATACAGCCAAAAAAAAGGAGAGAGAAATTGTTTCCTGAGCGCTCCCGAGAGCGCCTGTGGGAAGGAAAACTACAGCTCCCATCAGGCTGCCGGGAGCCGGGGAAGGGCAGAGTTCACCGTCACATTTCCAGCGGAGGATTCGGTGGAGGGGGGTGTTGGTGTCCTGGCACCGCCAGTGCCAAAGGGCCTCTGGGAAGGGCGAGCGGAAAAGCCAACTCTGCTTTTCTTCACCGCCCTGACCGGCTCCGAGCCTGCCCGGGTAAGCGTCCGACTCCACAGGACACTTTGTTTCCCTGACTTCCTTCTCCTGCCGGAGCGTCACCAGCGGGAACAGCACAGGGGAGGGAGGGAGGGACGGGAACCGGGCGGCAAGAGCAGCGATTGTACCCCCGAGCCCTCCAAATCGCGTCTCTAAGCGAGAAAACTCCGCTGTAGGGGCAGTGCAGGGGGGGTGAGGTGCCCCCCTGTGCTGGAAGAGCTGCTGAGGAGGCTCCTGGGCTGGGATTTTTGTACCGAAATCCGCGCGAACCGCGGGGAAAGTTCTTCGGGAGTTTCCCGTGCCGCCTGGCTGCGCTTCTGAAAGCCACCGGCTTTCTCGGGTTACACCAGCGAGCCCGGCTCCGTCCTGTCCCAAAAAAGCGCCTTAGCAGAGTGGGAAGGATCTCTGGAAGGGTGCAGGAGAGCCAGGCTGCGGGCTCCGGGCTCGCAACACCCGGGCAGGGCTCTGCTGAGCCCAGGGGGTGTTTGGGCCAGCGGCCGCACCTTCGGCACCGCTGCCTCCTGATCCAACGCGGGACGGTAAGGAGAGCAAGGTCACTGCTCTGTGTGGAGCTGGCTGTGAGATTCCAGGTGCCCTGCCAAACCCCGGGCTCCGGGCCTGCCATCTCGGAGTCCACCCGGTTGAGAAACCGGTGCCTCACCCCACTGGCGCGTCCCGAGACAAACGCGGTTTGCCTTAACTCCTGAACTAATTGTAGCTTGATGGGGAGCAAAATAGCTGACAGGCCTTGGGCTTAAGGTTCGTGGTTATGGGTGACACCCACCCTTTTTCACCTTGGGAATCACGGAGGGAGGAGCCTCCTCCTCCACCGTGAATCACCGCTCCTGTGTTTCTGCTTATCAGGTTTATGGGCGTTTAGTTGGAATTCCCGAGACCAGGACGGGATGGTGTCTGTGAGGGGGCAAGGACTTGGCCAGCCACTCGAACAGCGGGGAAAAACAGCTCCGTGTGACCGGAGGAGAAAGTGAAACGAAACAGAGCAGAAGCCAGAGCTCCAGGGGAAAAAGAAAATGGAAGAGAATCCAAGGGAGGATCTGTCTGGAGGTAAGGGATCCCTATGCTTACTCCAACCACTAGGAAGATTCCTTTGCCAGAAATCTTTAACAGTGACATGGGAAACTGAAGTAAAATAAAAATAAAATAATCCTGTCTTTTGCAGGCCAAGAAAAGCAAGATGCTATATTTTTTTTTTTATAAAGTGAGAGATGAACAAGTTACTTTCAGTTTTAGATTCCCATCTGCAACAGGTATAGACTCTGTGTCCAGGATGGCAGCACAAGG